TGACAGTCCAGTGTCAAAGACATAACCTGGATCTGGACTGGCTCCCAGCAACCTTTAGACTCTCTGATGTCCTGCTGATACATGACCCTTTTCTAAAGTCCCTTCCTACCCAAAGCCTTCCTTAAGGTTGTTGGGGGCCTTGGGATCCTACTCCTGAGGCTGGGAAATGTTAATTCCTAGAGTTTCTATGGGAAACATTAGCTGCAGGGCTTGATATTCACCGCTTCGCCCAGTGCCCATTCAGGTCTGGAGCAGTGAAGCTGTCACCACACAGGGGCAGTATGAATGAATGGTTACACTTAGGGTAGTAGAGTATTCCTGATGACCAACCAGGACTGGGAACCTTACCCTTCCTACAGCTGGATGCACACCATCGAGCTCCCTAGCCAATGGCACCTGGTCCTTGGGTAGGCATAGTGATTGTGATGCTTGGCTTTTCCAAAGAGTCACCACTGTTGCCCTCTTCAGGGACCTACAGCATCCTCTGCTGGAGTCACAGGTGCTTATAGGGACACCTCCCTGGACAGAAGAAAATACTTGCTCAGAGTATAAGTGTGTCTCTGCTCTTCTCTTGAGCATCTACCATAACACTCTCCACATGGAGACTGGCAAAGTTGTTCTAGCCTTAGTACTTCCATTAGAACCTTAGTACTTCCATTAGAAGAATGCACATGATGCTTGGTGCTGGTGGTTCACCCATATACTAGATACTCAGGAGGCTGAGATCTGACGATTGCAATTGTAAGCCAGCCTGTATAGACAAATCCTTGACTCTATTACTGAGCAAAAAAGCCCGTAGTGGCGGTGTGACTGAAGTGACAGTGTACTAGCCTTGAGAGAGTAAGAGAAGCAAGATCTGGAGGCCCTGAGTTCAAGTCCCAGAACTAGCAAGCATGCAAGCAAGCAAGCAAGAAACACATGGAAAATTTCCCCAATGCAAAGGGAAACTGGCTGTGAGTTTCAGATGGAAGAACCACTCAGTCTGACCCAGAGCTCTGTCCTATCCCAGACATCCCTGGGCTTCCTGGGAGAACTTACATGGCTGGGTAGGAGGTGGCATCCCTCACACCACTCCATGGTTCAGGGGGCTCTGGAGAGGCAAACCGCAGTGGTCCTACAGGTGGCTTGGCAAAGGGAATGCCCAGGAAGGTGTGCACTCCCATATTGGTGTCCATCACGTGAACAAGGCTACCCCGCACCTGCCCGGTGTGTGTGGTCCTGATGGGGCTGGCTCGGTCCTGGCCTGTGGATGGAGAGATACACACGGGAGTTGGGTGTGCCCCACCAGCTGCCACTCACACTGTGGCTCCTGTTATTTCTTGCTACTCACAGCTCAGCTGGGCAAAGGCCTCTGATCTGCAATGTCTTCCTATACTTCTTACCTGTTACACCAGCCCTCCCTCTCCAGTCCTTCTGAATTCTGTTTATATGCAATGAACACTTTGCCTAGTGCCTACGGATGAGGTTGAAGGTTGTGAATTCTGTGTGTATGCTAAAAAACAAAACAAAAAAACAAACAAACAAAACCCAGATCAATGTGTTTAAGACTTAGGGAATTCAATGGTTTTGAAGAAGCCAGGATTGATGGTATAAAAAAAAGTTCAGATCCATTTATTCCCCTATGGCTCGTTAATTGCCATTAGCCCTCTATGCCAGGTAGTCTAATATCCTTATATTGAAAATATTCAGAAAAATTTTGGAGACTGTTCTGATCATGTACAGAATTTTTCTTGCTGTTCCCTAAGTAATATAGTATTGCTATATAGCATGTACACTGGTCTAAGCACTCTAAGTAATCTAGAGTTTTTTTTTAATTTAAAGAATATATACTTAGGGCCAGTGCCGGTGACTCACACCTATAATTCTAGCTACTCAGGAGGCTCTTATCTCCAATTAATCACCGGAAGTGGAGCTGTGGCTCAAAGTAGTAGAGTACTAGTCTTGAGCAAAAGAACTCAGGAATAGCACCCAGGCCCTGAGTTCAAGCCCCATGGCTGACAAGAAAAACACACACATACAAAGAAAGTATATATGCTTAGATTCTATAAAAGAGCATCTGCACATTTTGGTATATGCTAGGAGGTTTTGGATTTTATCTCCCTGAATAGTGAGGACAACTCTATGTGAGGGCAAGCATAATTCCTATTTTAAATGAGAGTCATCCGGGAGGTCCAGGCAGATCTTTCTACCTGGAAGGCCTTGGTGATCTCTCAGAATTTAGCCCAGAGCAGACAAGTGAAGGAGCCAGACAGTGGTAGGCCGTGGGTGAGGTGAGGGGGGACTCTTTTGAGCAGATCAGTTGGAAGAGTGTTGGAGGATATTGTTAGATCCCTCTCCAAGAACTTGGGGTGAATGGGATTGAGGGCTTCAAACACACCCCTAGGTATTGGGTCCTTTTGACGTAAGTTCCTGAGAAGGGCTAGGAGATCACAAAGGGCACATGCTTTTTGCCCTGGAAAACAAGTCATATCTTTGCCCATTTGTCAGGCCTCAGATGCCTCTTATTTCTTTTTAAATCAGGGGATGGTGTACCTCCAGAGCTAGTAACTTTCTGGGGACCTCTTTAGAGGGTGCCTGCGTGCTTCTAAGGACCAAAGGCATTGTAATGGAGGGATAAATGATTGCATGAAGATATTACTATTGTCCTTAGAAGCACGAGAGGAAAAGTCCTATCCCCAGCTGCCCAGTTCTCAGATCACCCATCCTGGCTCCTCCCAGTCCTCCTCACTCAGCTGTCTATTCATTATCCCATGCACCAGCAGGCCCAACACTTTCTCTCTCTGCTTTTCAGGTCCACACTAGGTGCTTTGGACCTGTTGGGAATGCAAAATTCCCATACTCTTGTTTGTTACCACACTAGCTCCTTCCTTTGGAAGGCTTGCTTGCCCAAATCTCAGGCTTTACCTCTGAACAATGTGGTTTAACTGATTCTAGCTCCCATCACACCTTCAAGAATTCCCACCTTAGCAGGGTGCCAATGGCTCAAGCCTATAATTCTAGCTACTCAGGAGGCTGAGTCCTAAGGATTGCATTTCAAAGCCAGCCTAGGCAGGAAAGGCCATGAGACTCTTATCTCCAATAAACCACCAGAAAACTGGAAGTGGCGCTGTAGCTCAAGTGGTAGAGTGCTAGTCTTGAGCTAAAGAACTGAGGGACAGTGCCCAGGCCCAGAGTTCAAGCCACATGACCAATTAAATTAAATTAAATTTAAAAAATTCTCACCTCGGACCAAGAGGAGGGGAAGCAGAAGACCACAGGTCATGGTGCTCAACCATGAAGAATATTGGTCCATCCACATGGTTTGCTTGCTGGCTTGTGTCTGTGGTAGATTTGCTAAGGATCAAGCTTCATCTGAGGTGGAGTTTGGACCTACAAGGAAGTAGGCAAGGTGCCAGGTGGGTGTTGTAGGAGTGTGGCAGAGATCATAGGAAGAGAGAGAGAGTTCAACAGGCAGAGCATGATCACCTCTCTTATCTGCCTTCCATAAAGGGAGATACAACTGATCTAGAGTCACTGCATTCCTTCACAGCCCTTATGATGAGAAAGCAGCAGGGCTTTTTGGAGGAACTGTATGCTCAGTACCCCAGAGAGGCTGAATGAGTTTATCTTTGATGGAGTGGAATAAATTGTTTGAGTGAAGGCAGTGCTCCTTGCTGTGTCCTTCTTCTAGGCAACTGTGCCCCTCATCCTGAGAGCTCCTCTTGGCCTTCAGGACTTGTAGTTTACTGGATTCCTTCAAGGGTCCCTCAAGCCTTATAGTTTGGGTTCTTAGGGCCTCTGTTTGCCCTTCCCCATCCAGTTTTGGCTCTTTGAAATGTACACGTGACTGTGGCACTTCCACAGGTCTTCTGTCACCTGCTCACTGAGATCCAATCACTTATTCTCTGGAAGATCATGGAATAAGAGCCTGCTGGTGCTGCAGCCAGGAACCAGGCAGAACTCTCTAGGCCTCTGGTGCCTTGGGGAAAGCAAGGTGTCACCAATTGATTCTGAAACATCCCAAGGGCTGTGTGGATGGAGGAAAGTAAGCCTGGGTGTGGGAATGGCTACCACTCTGACTTCCCAAAGAAAAGGTGTCAAATCCAACCTCCAGGTAGTCTATAGCACCCCCTACAGCCCAATCTTTGGCTCTGTAGACCATCTCAGAGGCACTCAGAGCTCAGCAATGTTGCATTTCCTCTTCGAGCCTATGTGGAAGTAACTGCAGTTACTGAGGTCTGAGTAGCCAGCATGGTGAGACCACTGCTTCTCCTTGACTTGACCTCTACTCAACTAGCAAGGCCTGTTTTTGGATACAGGGGTTTCAACGCAATCCCATCTGGCCCAAGCCATGGTCCCAGCTTCTGCTTGAATAGACGTCTCTTTGCCCTTCATTCTGACTCAATTGATAGCTGGGTTGTTCAGCTGAGGGACCCAAGCTTCTTGAAGCTCAGTGCCTTTTTTTTTTTTTTTGTTAACTAGGACATTACTACCATTCTTCCTAATTCCAGGTGTTTTGTAGCTGGACACCACTGCTGTGATACTTCTGCAGGCCCCTTGAGTAAAGATCCTTATATGTCTTGCCCCTTCCCACACCATCATTCAGACACCTTGGCATTGATGGTCGCTGAGATCAGAGTAAAATTCTAGAAAAAAGGGAATTGAAGAGCCTCAGAAACATGCGCACATGCGCGCACAGACATGCTTGTGTATACACAGACATAGACAGAGAGATAGAGACACAGAGAGAAGTTGGAAACAAAGCTAAATGTGAGCTCTACCACAGTACACTCCATACAATCAGATTTTGACTCATAAGCCCAGTGAGCAACAGGTACCCTCATCTATGGTGGAGAAGCCAAATGATACAATCATTTTGCAAGATTGTTTGACTTTTTTGCTTAAAAGTTAAATGCACACTTATAATTCTACTCTCAGGACTTAACCAAAACTAAAATTAAAAATGCATATTAGTATTTTAAAGTATGAATGCTTGTAGCACAGAAAGTCAAATCAGAAAATATCCATAACAGCTTTATTTATAACCTAGGCGTGGTGGTGCATGTCTATAATCCAGTACTTCATAGGTGGATGCAACCAGTTTATGAGTTCATAGCCAACTTAGGCTATAACAAAAAAGAAAAGATAAATAAATTTAAAAATGGAAGGATTTTGAATGTGCATCAATTCTGAATGGATAAAATGCGTGCATGTCTGTGCATCATCTCCAGACTGCCACTCCACAGTGAAAGAAAAGACGTATGTCTTAAATCTCAGAAGTGAAGTGACAGAGTCCATCACAAAGATTCCATTTATACCACATGCAAAATAAGGTGAAGTACAGCAGCAGAAGCAATCAGATGATTGCTTTGAAGCAGCGTTCAAGGTAATGACTGACTGTAAAGGAAAATGAGAGAAGGCTTGGGAGTGAAGTCAACATTTTCCAATTTGATGATGTGGTAGGTGTATATGCTCCATATTTACTTAGGTTTACTTAACTGTACAACTAATTAATTTAATTACATGTCACTCATACCCCTTGGGCTGAGTGTGTAATTCAGTGATAGAATTCTTGCCCAGCATGCATGAAGCCCTTTATGAGGCAGGGCTTGTGGGAGGTATTAGGTCTTGGGGTCATTGTTTTGTGGGAAGAATTAATGCAGTTCTTATGAGCCTCAAGGAAGTTATGGATTAGCTTAAAGCAAGCTAATGTAGTTGTCTCTTCTGCACTTGTCATTTTGTTTCCCACTTCTGCCATGTGGTGGTGCACTCCAACGGGCATTCATGAGTAGTCCAACAGATGGTGGCATCTTAATCTCACTTCTGCATTCAAAACCAAAAGACATTCTTCTCTTCATAAGACTCAGCATCAGAAATGTTCTGATAGCCACAGAAGATGGATTAATACTCTTTCTCTAAATTATACTTGTGTGTGAGGTTGTTTTTCCCTTCTGTGATAGGAGGCCACAGTGAGTAGATATCATATCTAAAGCAGAAAGCAAGTCCTCACCTCAGCTGGCACCTTCATAAAGACTTCTTAGAGCTGTCAGTAAATCCCTGTGTGGTTTAAGCCACCAGCTTGGGATATGAGCTATTAACTTATGACCCAGTAAAGAAATTTGTTTGGATGTGCTTATGATACAGTGGGTGAAAGGGACTAAGACACTGTGCTTCTGGTATTAAGATTTTCAATTGGGCCCCTAGGGAGTATGAGGACATGGGTAATTTACTAAGGGGTGGACATGGGTTTATTACCCATGCTTGGAAAATAGTCTCCAAAGGACCTTGCTAAGTCATAAGGGAGGAGAAGGAACATGAGAAAAGGTGAGTAGACACAGGTGACACAGAACAATGTAGGTTTTGTCTCCCAATCACAGCTTCCTGGGGGGAATTTAGTGAGTCTGTGGCAACAAACATACAAGGGTTCCTCCTAAATGTTGGCTGAATGGATGGATGTGAATTTTGGAGTGAATTTCTGCTCCTCAATGGGTGTGTGGGGCCCTTAGGCTCACCCCACCTGCATTCAAGCCCATTCCTCCCCGACACACGCTCCTACAGCTCTGTGTGCTTCATCTGAGCCTCCTTCAGCTCCTGGATCTTCTGGGGCAGGGTCTTGGTCCAGAACTTCAGCCTGGAGGCCTTCAGGGCCTGGCCCACAGAAGGATGGATGTCCAGTTGCAGGTATTGCTCATGCTTGTCAAACATGGGCCAATGGAGCAGGTCCTTGCTGTTGGGGTTTCTGTGGACATGCCCTCCCATCAGGGCAGGTGAGGGTCACTCTGAGTCCTGCTGTGTCCAGACAGGAACCCCCAGAATTTGATCAAGTCAGGCAGTCCAGCAATTCCATATGTGGGGAATGAGGAGGAACTTTCCTGATAAGGGAAAGCATTAACTTCTCTCATAAGCAATGGCCTGTGGCCTGTTTTCTCCTGTCTTAAGAGGCAGGCTCTCATAGTACCATAGAGCTATAGCGCCCCCTCCAGGACACTGAGGTTAAGAGACAAACCATTACCCACATGTACCCTCTCAGAATGGGTCCCAGGCTTGTGAAGAGGGCAGGAATTGAATTGTGGCTATGCATGCTCATGAGGCAAACACACACAGGGGAGCACTGGGTAGACCCCACTATGGTGAAGTTCGAGCAGGGTGTCTACTTACCCATTCCGGGCAAAATTGGCCCAGTACTTCATCATTGTTCTGCTCAGCAGCTCTTCCTCCTCAGTGAGATCAACTACAAAGAGGAGAATGATGGTCCATTTCCTGGTCATGCCATCCTGGTGTCCAAATGGGCTCTATCTTTACTACCTAGTTGTGACCTGATGCTGGGCCCCCAGGCCCTCTATCTGCACTCAGGTCCAGACTCTCCTATTGCTCAACCTGCTTTTACTCTTTGCAGCCTTGGGGCTGCATTTGCTCTGTGCCCAGAATTCCTATCTTCCTCTGACCCTGAGAAGTCCTTTAGAAACAATCATGCCTTTGGAAGGTCCCTGCTCAGTCCCTACGTCAGACTCCAAGGTGGGATGGAGCAAGGTGGAGATAGCTTAGGCTGGAGTCGGGAGGGACTTAAAGTGATTCAAACCTCCTGTAGGCTTTTGAGCTGCAAATGGTACATACCAGATCCAGTCTTCTCTTGGCAAGCATTTCCTCTTCTGGACAGTGAAGATAACCACAGCTCTAGGGAATGAGAAAAACTCACCTTGGGTCCCAAGAAAGGATCTGAAGAGAAAGGGAATCTCATCGCCATGGTCAGCCTTCACACAGGGCGGCTTGATGTCTTTATGGAAGTTAGGTCGGTGCTGGAACTCATAGAAGTAGACAGGGGCATGAGGTCCTAGGGGTGTGGAGAGGCAATGACACAGTGTCCCTTCACTGGAGTTGCCCTTCCCCATTCTTGATGACTAGATATATAGGCCCAAAGCTGGCTAGAACATGGGTGGTGGAGTGGGGTACCCCACGCTGGAGTAGGGCCAGTGGGAAGATCCTTGGCTAACTTATGACCTTGGATTTGGATTGTCCTTTTGTGTTATCCTGGAGTAGTCACTGAGTGTCACTAATTCAGTTCCTCTTCCATCTAACGGAAGTGGTATCTGTCCCTTAGAGTAGTAATAAGGATTTCTGACCTGTGAGACATTAAGTGCCTGGCACTGGGCCCTTGAGAAAGCCACAGTGGGGGAACTTAACACGACAAAGCTCACCTCAGATGCACAGCTCTGAGCTGCCTGCTGGGTTGTGAGGCTTCAGTTACGGTCTACTCACGTTGAAAATGCGCTACTTGCAGAGCAGGCATCACGATTATGAAGTCTCCCATCATCTCTTGGAACTGGGCTTGGATGGTCTCGGGGTCTTGAGTGTTCCCCATGTACTCTTCTATCAGCAGATCACCAAACTCAAGAGGCAACATCTAGTCCAGTGAATGAGAATGATTCAGATTAGGCAGCTTCTGGGCAGCAGCCTCAGGATAGGGTGATGGAGTCTGGGGATAGGACAAGGTAGAGAGGGAAAGGGCCAAGCCTTGGGGTAACCCCACCCACAAATGCAGCACAGTTTAGACTTTTTTGAGGTGGGGTCAGTTCTTGGGCAACGTATCTGGGATGACCGCTAAGATTCTCACCAGCTGCTTTGACCTTCTCTGCAGGATAGCTCGCACTGTGTCTCTGTCTATCTTCTGGGTGCCATAGTTGACCATGCTCTGAATTGTAGGAGGAGAGTTTGTGTTGTGGTTCTGATTGGCCTATCGTTGTATAAGAGATATCCCAGACACCAAGGGGCTTGGATCTGAGCCTCACCGAGGGGATGATCCAGCCATACTCATCATTGTTGACACCAATGATGCTGGGGACGTATTGGAAGTCAGCAGATGCCAGCAGCTCCTCAGGATCCCTGGGCAGAAAGATCCCATCGACTATGCCAGGTATGATATTGAAGGCCTAAAGGAACATTCAGTGTCCAAGAGGAAGATTAGGTCACTTCTGACCATGGATAAGTTTCATGCCTTATATTCCTGTGTGAAAGTTTCATCCTAAGATTCTCTCCTCCACTCATGTAGACATGGCTTTAGCAAATCAGTCTCTATTCCCATCCTGTGGACTCAAAGATATCAGTGAACTATTAATGGAGTTTGAAGGGCACTCAGGGTTTCCTGCCCCACACTTTTTCACTTCTCTTCTTCCATGCCCACACAATTCAACCTGACCTTGGTAATAGCCAGCATTTCCTCTTCACTCTTGACCCGCAGGCAGCCCACCAGGGCCTCTGAGTCTACTTGTCCACAGGCAGACAAGTTGGCCACCATCTGGAAAGCAATCAGGTAGGGGCTGCCTCATCCAGATGGGTACAGGTGCCCCCCAAAGCTCTCAGGATACAAACCGTTGATTGCTACAGATGTGAAATGGTTCCAATTTTCCTGATCCTCAAAGGCCTCAGCCAGCAGAGCCATCTCCCCTGATTACATGATTATCTGAACTGTGAGGCCCCGGGAGCAGCATTTGCTGACCATTGAACACATATAGCGTCTGAGCGGCAGAGGGGTGTGGAACTCTCAGTAGTTCCCAAAGCACCTCCATGGTCCTTGCTATTCCTACTAAAGAGACAGAGAACCAAAGGCTCTGAGAGCAAGGGGGGGGGGGGATCCAGTGCATCTGGCCTGGTTGTGTTGTGGGCACTTACTGTGACAACTGCCTCAATGGAACTGGAGATGAGGGTGGGCACCAGGGCCATCCCACTCTCCATGATGGCACCATGAAAAAGTCCTTGGGACATGGGTGACAGGACATGCAAGGACACACTTGTACCACCTGCAGATTCACCAAAAATGGTGACACGGTCGGGGTTGCCTCCAAAGTGGGCGATATTCTGTTGGACCCAGCGTAGGGCGGCCACTTGGTCCAGAAAACCCCAGTTGCCAGTGGCATGCTGGTCTCCAGTGCTGAGAAGTGGCAGAGAGAATTTATTATAGGACTGTCCTGGCTCTGCTAAGCCTCCATTGCTCAACTCGATGATCAGGCTCACCTGAAGAAGCCTGGGACTCCCAGGCGGTACTGGATAGTGACCAACACCACATCTTCAAAGGCTGTAAACACTGATCCATCATACAAGGAAGCCATGCCTATAACCAGTGCACCACCATGGATCCACACCATCACCTGGGGAAATCAAGGCAGATGTCATATGGTTTCCACATGGCCCAAGTCCCTTCTTGGGTGGCTCCTTAGATTTGACACCATTTTGGCTGTGTTTACCTCCCTACATAGGTAGAACCCCAAGCTGACTTGTTGCCTTGGCTATGATCAGAGGGCCCAGCTGAATGAAGAATAGTATTTAGGAGTGTACCCTAATGTCAGAGCTTGATACCATTTCCCCTAGAACTTTCTGTGGGGAAACAAATGGCATGGATTGTCTCATGTAACATTGATTTAAAAACTGTTTTCCAGTCTCAATGGCTGGAGTCAGTGGCAACTGACTACCCCAGCTGACCATGGTCTGATACTCACCGGCAGGTTAGAGCCCTCATGTGCATGGGCAGGCGAGTAGATGTTGAGGTATAGGCAGTCCTCAGATATGGGGATGGGAGGCAGGGTCAGATTCAACAGTTTCAGAGCCTGTGTCTTCATTGCAGTGATGTCCTGCAGACAGCTGGTGAACAGTTATAACAGACAGTCAGCCAGTAGCTAGCCCTGGACTGAACTAGACCCTTGCTGTGGATTTGCCATCATTTCCTGATACCCTGCTCACATACGACCCTTCTCTAAAGTTACTTCCTAGCCAGCTGCAGGTCATAGTATCTGGGAAGCCAGGGTAGAACTCTGATTTCCAGGGAGGCTACAAGGTTACTAATCTTGGATCCTATACTTCCAAAGTTGGGAAATCGTGACTCCTGGGAGTCCCTGTGGGAAACCTCAGTTGTAGATGTTGACATTCACCACTTTTTCCAGTACCCATTTAGGCCTGGAACAGGAGAGCTGCCACCACACAGGCATAGCATGAATGAATGAAGGTTGGTTTCTCATAGGCTGAGGCATGAGTTGACCATGTTCAGACTCTCATGACCAGAATCTTTTCTAGTTGGAAGGACACAAATGTGTTTCCGGGTCCTGTGGGTTGGCACAGTGACTATGGAGCTTGATTTTTTTTAAATTTTCATCCCCTCTTCAGGGATGTGCAGCCTCGGCTGCTGGAGTCAAGGACTCTCAACAGGTTCCTAGAGCCAGCCTACACCTCTCCAAGTATACCTCCTCTGGTGGCAGAGAATATGTGGCACAACCCAACTCAGGTGTCTGTTACTCTTTTTAGTGCCTGGTACTAGCACAGTCCACGTGCCGAGACCTGAGCCTGGAGCGGGCAAAGTTTCAGCACCATCTGAGCCTCAACACCATTATTGAAAAATGCACAGAAAATCCCCACAACGTAAAGGGAAACTGGCTGTGATGTTCAGATGGATGAGTTACTAAGCTTGACCCATAACTCAGAGCTTCTGTCCTACCCCAGGCATGAAAGTACCTTGTGCTCCCTGGGAGAACTTACATGGCTGGGTGGGAGGTGGCATCCCTCACACCACTCCATGGTTCAGGGGGCTCTGGAGGGGCAAACCGCAGTGGTCCTACAGGTGGCTTGGCAAAGGGAATGCCCAGGAAGGTGTGGACTCCGACATGGATGTCCTTCACATGGACGAGGCTGCCCCGCACCTGCCCAGTATGTGTGGTTCTGATGGGGCTGGCTGAATCCTGGCCTGTGGGTAGAGAGATGCACATGAAGGTTGGGTGTGCCCCACCAGCTGCCACTCACATTGTGGCTCCTGTTGCCCCTTGCTACCCACATTCACCCTGGAAGAGTCCTTTCAACCTACCCAGCCAAATGACGGGAGGCACAAGGAGAACTCTTGGAATAGACTTGAAAATTTCTAATTCTCCCTCATCTCATGCTGGAGGTATGAAAAAAGAGCCTGCTAAGAGCAGGAAGGAGAGAGCTGAACCTTGAAGCCCTTCCAAGAGCAGACCAGTGAGAGCCACAGATCATAGAATTTCAGACTCCAAAACTGTGAGAGCTAAACAAACCTATTTTCTTTATACATTACCCAGAAATATTTTATTACAGCAACACAAAGAAGACTGAGAGAGAAAATTGGCATCAAGGGTAGAGTTATTGCTATACTATCTGAAATGTGATGTGGGAGTGGACCTTTTTCTTTTCTATTTTTTGAGACATTGTCTTATTATGTAGCTCAGGCTGACCTCTCCTTCATGATCCTCCCATCTCAGCCTTCCAAGGGCTGGCATTAGAGTCACAGACCACCATACAAAGGTTGGAAGTGGCTTTGGAACTAGATAAATGGCTAGAAATTGGAAAGGTTTGGAAGAACAGTCTAGGAAAATTCTAGAATGGAACATGATAGACCAAGAGACTAGAAGGAGCTAGAACTTTGTAGAGATTGGAGAAGTGGTCATGACTAGAATGTTAATAACAATGTGAATAGTGAAAGCTACGTTAAGGAAATCTCAGGTGGAAATGGAAACTGGAAATAAAGACTGGAAATAAAGACTTCCTCTATTACACCACTAGAAAGGAGTCACTACATTGCATCCATACTCCAAGAATTTACCCAAGGCCAAAATTAAGAGTGATGATATAGGGAGAAAGCTGAGTGGATATTTTTTTAAAATCTCTCTCTGTGTGTGTGTGTGTGTGTGTGTGTGTGTGTGTGTGTGTGTGTGTGTGTGTGTGTGTGTGTGCATGCTGGTATAGGGGCTTGAACTCAGACCATTTATGGCTGGCATTTTACCACTTGAATCACAACTCCACTTTTGGCTTTTTTAGTTAACTAGAGATAAGACTCTCCTGGGGGCTGGGGAGGTGGCTCAGTGGTAGAGCACTTGCCTTGCATGCCTGAGGCCCTGGGTTCCATTCCTTAGTACCACATAAAGCAAAAAGAAAACAGCCAGAAGTGGCACTGTGGCTCAAGTGGTAGAGCGCTAGCCTTGAGCTGAAGAGCTGAGGGACAGTGCCCAGGCCCAGAGTTCAGGTCCCACGACCGGACCCCCCCCCCCCAAAAAAAAAAAGACTCTCCTGGACTTGTCTGCTTGGGTTGGTTGGGTTGAAATAATCAGATTTCAGCCTCTTAAGTAGCTAAAACTATAAGCATGAGCCACAACTAGTGGTTTTTTTTCCCATTTTCAATGATATTTATAATAATAGTATGATAAAACTTGCCCTTCTGAGCACAAAGCTGATGTTAAACCTCAGTACTGACAGAGAGAGAGAGAAAGAAAGAGAAAGAGGGAGGGAAGGAGAGAGGAAAAGGGGGAAAGGAGGAAAGGAAGAGAAGGAGAGGAAAAGGAGGAGGAGGAGGAGGAGGAGGCAACAATGATGGAAGAAAGCAAGACTTTATGCTTCAGAAAAAAATCAGAAAGAAGTCCTGAAGACATCACAGAAATCTTCTAGGCCCAGAGGGCCCTGGATGGCAGAAAGGGCACAGAAAATGAGCCAGGGATGTCTTCACAGGCTCACTGTCTGGGGTTACCTGAGGATTCTGTGCCTTGCATCCCACTATAATGTTCTGGATCGATTTCAGCTGTGGTTCAAGACAGCCCAGGCATAGCTCCTGATGCTGTTCCAAAAGCAGCAAACATCAGCTCTTAGTGCCATCCACCTGGTGCTAATTTTGCAGGCACACAGAATCTGGAGACCATGGAGTCATTATGGCTTCCAGTAAGATTTCAGAGGACAGGCTGGGAGGCCCTGCTGCTGAGGTAAAGCCACTGCAAAGATTTTACCCTAGAATGCCCAACAAGGCTCGACGAATGAAATCACTGCTCTTGAGACCTCAGCATTGAATAACTCCTTCCTGGAGGCTGGCAGGTCAGCCTGGGGACAGGCAACATCACAACCTCAGAGTATCACTAGGGGCGGGGCTGCCAAAGCCATGAAGACCACTGCCCCCCTGCCACACACACACAGAGTGCTCAACTTGAAGTTTTGCCATCCTGTATCCCTTGCTCAGTTTCAGATTTGCTCAGGATTATTGACTCTTCTGTTTATCCTTCTTAGAATAAGATTTTTGTTAACCTGTGTTGGATTCAACTCTATATTTTGAAACTATGTAACTTGTTAGCTTTTTTTTTTTAATTTTAAATTTACATGCTGATAGTGAAAAGGAATTTGCCTTGAGTTTCAGATGGGATTTGGGACTTTGGATTTCTGTCTGTGCCAGAAGGAGCTAACCCTTTGAGACTAAAAGCATGGAATAAAAGCATTTTGCATTGTGAGAAGTATATGAATCTTGAAGACAGGGAGAAAATGGAGAGAATGCCGTATTTTGGATAGGATTTATCCCCCAAAGGGGAGATGATTGGTACTATTGTGGTTTGGTGTTGAGGAGAGGGAACCTCTAAGGAATAGGATGCAGTGGGAGGTTATTGTAAAGGATTAATGATCTTTCAGAGTGGTTTAGACCTTGTAGGAGTGGATTTGCAACATTGAGAATGAGATGTTAGGAAACAGGAAGTCTGGCCAGGTACAGTGGTACACATCTGTAATCTCAACTACTCAATCTCCGACTGGCCTGGGGAAAAGTTCAAGACTCTCAGAAAAACAAACTAAAATGAAAAGGTTTAGAGGCCTGGCTCAGGTGGTAGAGAACTTGCCTAGCAGATTTGAAATCCTGAGTTCAATTCATACAGTAATGATGTAAATCAAACCAAACCAAACCAAACCCAAAACAATTTTTGGCTTTTCCACCCTGTCTATTGCTTCCTTTCTCACCCTGTGATCTCTCCCCATATGCTCTATAACAAGAAGGCCTCACATGCATCCAAACAAAGGGTCATCAGACCAAACATTTCAGACTCCATAAACTTGAGCTAAATAAACGTATTTATGTTATTTATACATAATTTGGCACCAAGCATTTTGCTTTAGCAACAAGAACCAAACTAAGCTATGTTTTAAATGAAAAAGTCTTCCCAGCAGCATGCTACTTACACATAATTCTGTGCTGAATAAAATATTCCTCTGTGTAATACACTTCAGTCACTGCCACTGAAGTTTCATGCTTACCTGTATTATGACAAAGTAGCAAATCTGTTGAAAGTTCCCTGCTTAAAGACTTGTTACACAACAATGTTTCATTCTTTAACAGATTCCCTTCCATTAAATAGCATCAAGAAGCTCTGTCTTGCAGGAGTTCAAGGAAGTAGAAAAGACTGGTACCAGAAAGGGGATGAGATTGTGATCATTTAGGTGCAAATGGAGCCAAAAGCATAAATCTAGTTTTGGTCGAAGTCCCAAACACTGTGTAAAAAAAAAAGTCTTGTGATCTGAGGATGTCCCTGGAGTAGCTAGGACTGGTTGGGATCCAAATCCATGCTCTTAAGGCTTGCTAATGATTCTTTTTGAACGTAACTTCAAGGCAAAACACCATCTCAATAAGAGCCATCAGTGAGGCTGGGCAGATCTGCTACTGGTTCTGATGTCTTCTAGTGGTAGCCTGGCCATAGAAGGCAAGAAAGAGAGTGGGCCATAGGAAACAGATGGGTGAGCCTTCCCTTGAGCAGATGAAGAGAAGGTGGCAGGCTGGTCCTGACAGGACTAGTAGAAAAGCAGGCAGCCAGGGAACTAATGCCTAGACTTGCAGATTTCAGGATAAACCGATAAACCAAAATCTACCTGACAACAAAATGAAAGCAAGGGGCTACAAAAGAAAAAATAAATAAGCCCCCTTTAAGTAAGAGTAAAAAAAAAAAAAAACTGAGGAGATTAGTATAGGGTCCTAAGTTTTTGGTGTCAGGGAATAGAAAGGAGACCCATCAATCAAAAAAGTCATCTTTGATGGATGCCAGTGGATCTGTAATCTTAGCTACTCAGAAAGCTGAAATATGAGAACTGAAGCTCAAAGCCAGCAGGGGAGAAAAGTCCAAGACTCTTATTTCCAATTGGCCAGCAAAAAACAGGAAGCAGAAGTATGACTTAAGTGGTAGAGCATCTGCCTTGAGTGGAAAAAGCTAAGAAAAGCGACCAGGCTCTGAGTTCAAGTTCCAGGACTGCCCCCCCCCTCCCAAAAAAGATATCTTCAAGAACCTCAGTTGTCTCTGTTTATTTCAAGGCTAATCTTGGTAACCTCAAAGATAAAGCAAGGTGGCATGTCTATACCATGTGTTCTTTTTGTCTACCATATTTCTTTTCTAAGAAATTTTCCTATCGCCTTTACTTATGTTTGTGTCTTGCCTGAATTCTCTTGTCAGATATAAGCACCCAACTGAAGTCAATTTAGCTGTCTTAAACTTCTGGTAGCAGTAGTTCAGAGGAGAGGAATAAAGGGCCCAGTCATGCCCAGGCGTGGTGCCTACCTAGGCTAATGTCTAATGAAGGCCTGGTAAGCACAGAGTACCATTACCTTTGCCCTACTTGGCCAAGCCCTGCTTTTGCCAACCAGGTCCATGAGATGGGAAAGACTCAGTGAACTTCTTGTAGCTGCTTTCCCATGCGGTGCCTGGGATTCTGTTTTCCCCAAGGGCAAACAGAGGAACCTAGAGCCCCTTTGAGAGGGCCAGGACACCTGTTTCATGAAGTCATGACACATTCAAAGTCAAATGGCAGCAGGAAGCTATTAAAAAGCTTTTGTTTTTTTTATTACCTATTAGTCACACAGTTCCAGCTATAAACACCAAACACAGAGGCTGCTAACCTTCTCCTGCTAGTCTGCTGCTCCTTACAACCCGATTCTCAGTCCACTCCTAGATGTTAGGTGTTCTTCTGTGGCTCCCAAGCTCTCTGTGCTTCCCAGGTCCCTCCCTTGAACATGAGCACAGGATTCAAATGCTGTCAGCAACACCAGCTCCTTTCTCCCACTCTTCCCTCCCATACTCAGGCTCTGCCTCTGCAGTTGGGCAGATCTGACCCCATCCCTTTTGCTCCTACAGGAGCCTCACCCTGGGCCCTGAGAAGGAGAAGCAGGAGCCCACAGGCCACGGCACTCAGCTGTGCTGGGAGTCGGTCCAGCATGGTAGTCTCTCACAGGCCTGGTTCAGCGCTGTTTCAAAACAGGACAGAATTCAGGACAGCAGCCGGGATCTAGCCAACCCATCTACGGGGAGGAGGCGGGGCGCTGGGTGGGGCTTCCTTTACGAGTTAGGAGAAAGGCTCTGAGCAGGAGGAGGTCCCCGGAAGTCAGTGGGCAGAACAAGGGGAGTGGCTGCTTCTCTTTGTGTCTTCTTGAAGGGGCACTCAGCCTGGGTGGTGAGTGGCTTTCTGCAGTCTCTCCAAGGTATCAGATCCCTCTGTCTAAAAACGTGCTCACTAAGTTCTGTCCTTGCCTTCACAGGCCAAATGAGGACACTACGGATGGGAAAGCTGAGAATGGAGGCTGGGAACAGAGAAGCAGGTTCAGGCTCCCACAGATAGATAGACAATGGCCCCCACTTAACACAGGGAAAAGTCAAGTCCTTGAACAAAGACAGGGAGCTGTGCCTGTATCCTTTACAGGATTCCTCCTTGTACTCATTGCTATTGTTTACCAGCCTGCCTTCAAGGTTCTCCATCCATTAGTGTCTACATAAACCCCTTCCTATTTGGGAATTCAAACACACTTGTTACTGTGGCATTGCTTAAGGACCTACCTCCCTACTCACCCCACCCCCACTCTCTTGGCTACCCTGGTGACTGTGATCAAGTCATTTGCCCACTTGACAAATACTTCAGGGGAACTTGTGGGTTGCATCACTGTGCCAGGGCTCAGGGCCTGTGGTAAGCTGAAGACAGGTCTGTAATTGGGAGTTTGTGAAGCACATAGAATCCTGCCAGGATACAGTGAATCACCAGGGTCCAGGAGCTGAAGCCCAGCCAGACTTCCTGGAGGAAGAGTTGTTATGCTTAATTGTACACTGCCTTAAGAACCAGCTTGGCTTCTTCATTCAAGTGCCCAATATTCTTTGGCACCTAAAGCCATGGGCTGCCATCTTGCCATGGGGTTCATTTCTCTGGTGTGAAATGGCTAGGACTTCTTTGACTTCTGCCCCATCAGCAAGGCCTGTTGTGGATTCCAAGTCTCCTGTCCAACACATTCTGGCCCAAGCCATGTTCCCAGACCCTTCCTGGGTGTATGATCTCTCTGCCTTTCATTCTCCTGACTTCATAGCTGGGCTGTGGACCTGAGACCTCAGCAACTTGCAACTCAGGATCATAATAAAATTTCTGTTAACTGAATATCCCAATTCTTCTTCCTAATCCCAGAACTGTTGTGTACCACTATTGGGGTGGAGGTTCCTATGTGCCCCACCACTTCCCAAATCATCATTTAGCCACACTGATCAATGATGACCATGGTAAGGGTAGAAATGTGGAATGCTGGAGTCTCAAAAGGCTTTTTTCTTTCTTTTCTGTCTGTTGTAGGGCTTGTACTCTGGGCCTGGGTGCTATCTCTGAGCTCTTCAGCTCAAGTCTAGGGCTCTACCACTTGAGCAATAGTGCCACTTCTGGTTTTCTGGTAGTTAATTGGAGATAAGAGTCTCACAGACTTTCCTGCCTGGGCTGGCTTTGAACCACGATCCTCAGATCTCAGTCTCCTGAGTAGCTAGGATTACAGGCATGAGCCACCAGCACCCAGCTTCTCAGAAGCATTTCTGTGTGTGTGATGCAAATTCTGTGTGTCATGCAAATTCACATGTGTCTAGTGATCTGGAGAAAGACAGGTAAAGACAGAGAGAGAGAAAGAGAGAGAAACAAAGAGACAGAGACAGACAGACAGACAGACAGACAGACAGAGACAGAGGGAGAGACAGGGCAAAGACAAAGTCACACACGCACAATTCCAGCAATTTGGAAGCCTAAGGCTGAAGGATTCCCTATGCCAGATCATCACAGACTATGTAGCCAGATATTACTTCTAAAAATCCCTGAAGTAAGTTAATTAATTAAAAATAAAATGAATTAAAATGGAAGTCCAGGGCTGGAAATGTGGCTTAGTGGTAGAGTGCTTGCCTCGCATACATGAAGCCCTGGGTTCAATTCCTCAGTACTATATAAACAGAAAAGGCCAAAAGTAGCACTGTGGCTCAAGTGGTAGAGTGCTATCCTTGAGTAAAAAAGAAGCTCAGGAATAGTGCCCAGACCCTGAGTTCAAGCCCTGGGACTTGCCAAAAAAAAAAAAAAAGTCCAGTGAGATATCACAACACAACCCCCTTTAAGGTCACCAAATTTAAGAACCAAATTTATCCAAGTATGTGGGTAAATGGGGGAATTTAATTGCATGGAATTATTTCCTAATCAAGCTCTTAAAAAGGAAGGTAACTACTAAAAATCTAAAATGTGTCATAAAAATCCCCTTGGGGAATATTCTTGTGCATGGACAGAGATGACATCACCCAGGGCTTGTTGGCAGCTCTCAGGATTCAGTGAGGGATTTATTATGCACCAATCCTGTTCACTCTTAAGGTCTTTGAGCTCTGCCCAGTCTCTCAGCCCAGGCTTCAAGGTATTCTTGTCTGCCACCTAGTGTCCATGGCAGACATGGCAATGTGAGAATTCTCTCCATTCCCCAAAGTCAGGAAGCGCTAGTATAGGTCTTAAATTCAATGGATGAAAGAGAGAGGATTTAACTTGGGAAAGTTAGTGCCCTTGGATGGCAAGTTGACCAAAAGTAGGTCAGAGTGATAGCCTCAAAATCTATTGGATAAGGGATAAAGCCTCTGAGTTTACACAGAAAACAAGTGCTGACACTACCTACATTCAGGCCAATGTCAGCTGGATACAGCTGTTCCAGCTCTATGTACTTCTCCTTAGCCTTCTTGAGCTCCAAAATCTTCTGGGGCAGAGTCTTGGTCCAGAATTTCAGCCTGGAGGCCTTCAGGGCCTGGCTCACAGTAGGCTGAAGGTTCAGCTGCAGGTACTTCTCATCTTGGTCAAAGACAGGCTAGTGGGGCAGGTCCTTGCTGTTGGGATTCCTGTAAACATGCTCCCACCCCCCACCAAAAAGGGCAGGTGAAGGTCACTGAGTCCTGCTGAGCCCCAGCTGAGACCAGGCAGCTCAGAAGGTCAGAGATAGGGTGAGGAATGAGAGGGAGAGTTCTTGATATAAGAAAACAATGGCTCTCAATAGATGAGTGGATCCAAACAATGTGGTACCTATACACAATTTTACACAGCCATTAGAAAGAACAGTGTTATATCATTTGCTGGGAAATGGATTGGCCTAGAACAAATCATGTTAAGTGAGGCAGGCTAAGCTCAGAGAGACAAATAGTGCATGTTTTCTCTCATATGAGGAAGGCAGATTTAAAATACATGGGGGCATAATAAATTATACAGGTCTCTAGGCATTCACACACAGTGAGACCAAAGGAAGATATACTTAAGAGAAGGACACAAAGCCACGATGCCTATGTGCATCTGATCATATAAAATAACATTTATTGAAATGAATTCTGGGAAATGGAAACAAGAGGGTTTTTCTTTGTTGCTGCTTTTCTTTTCTTTTCATCTTATTTCTTCATTTGTCATTTTGGGGGAGGGTAATGAAGGACACAGAAATGGAGAGACAAAGGGTGAACCAATTCAGCAATGATACTCACTGGACATTATGTAGAAAATGAACTATATAACCTGTGGATGGGGACAGGAGGGAAAAACTGGGAGAGAACAAGGGAAGGGGTAACATTGTCCAAAAAGAAATGTACTCTTTACCTAACTTCTGTAACTGTAACCTCTTTGTATAGCACCTTTATAGTAACAATTGAAATTAAACTAAGAAACAAAAACAAAAATAAAAAACAAGGTGGATGCTGGTGGCTCATGCCTGTAATCCTAGCTACTCAGGAGGCTAAGATCTGAGGATAGGGGTTTGAAGCCAGACTGGACAGAAAAGTCTGGGAGACTCTTATCTTCAATAAATTACTCACAAAAAGCCAGACGTGGCACTGTGGCTCAAGTGGTAGAATGTTAGCCTTGAGCAAAAGAAACTCAGAGACAGTGTCCAGGTCCTGAGTTCAAGCCCTACAACTGGCAAAAAACAAAACAAAACAAGGACCACTAGTGTCAGTTCTACATAGCCCAGGGCCACCTGGGTGGCTTGTATTGTCCTTCCTTCACAGAGGCAAGGTCTGATATTTCCCCAAAGGATTGGCTTTCAGGGACAAGGACTAATATTCATGAGATGATCTCTGTCTGAGTGGGTGATGAGTTGGGGAGAGAGGATGTCAGGTAATTAGATACCATGGATGCTAACTAGGGTACTAAGGATAAAAGGAGCTCCAGATGGATCTCATTCTGAGGAGGTTTGAATAGTGGTATCCTCTTACCCATTCCGAGCAAAGTTGGCCCAGTACTTCATAATCCTCCTGCTCAGTAGTTCCTCCTCCTCCTCCTCAGTAAAGTCAACTTCACAGACAACAAGAGTCTGGATCCTGACCAACCTATCTGGCTGCTTTGTCATGCTCCACAGCCATGATTCAACTGTAGTCATATCCTGAAAAACAGGCCTGGTCCTCTTTCCTCTGCCACCACCAAGGAAGGATCAGGCACTCCCATCCCAAACTTTCCAGACTTATCCCAGCTTCTGCCTGAATCTACCACCCTATGCAAATCTATGAACCAGTAGCCCACTTTTTCCCTATGGCCCTGGAAATCAATCAGGAACAGCCACAGTCCTAATTTTAACTCCCCTGCAGCCTTTTGAACTACAAGAGGTTTCATACTTGATCTTGTCCTTTCTCTGAGCCCCAGTCTCCTCATTTGGTATTCCTCTCAGGTGTCCTAGTGTGGCCCATCCTAGCTTATGGAAATGAAGAAGACTCACTGCTACCGCCTGCCTGAAGGCAGACCTGAAGACAAAAGCAACCTCATCACCATGGTCAGCTTTCGCGTGGGGCGGGGGTGGGGGGTTGGGGGGTTATGTCCTTAAATAAGCTGAGTGGTTGCTAGAACTCATAGAAGTAAATGGGGGCGTGGGAACCTAGAGGGATGGATAAACTATGACATGGTAAATGACATGGTGACCCCCTCATCTGAGCTGTGCTTCTACATTTTTGGTGATAAGATAGCTAGGTTTAAGCTGG